TGTAATTGTGGTGTAATGTGTGTGTGTGTGTAATTGTGTGTAATGTGTGTGTGTGTGTGTAATTTGTGTGTAATGTGTGTGTGTGTGTGTAATTGTGTGTAATGTGTGTGTGTGTGTGTGTAATTGTGTGTAATGTGTGTGTGTGTGTGTGTGTGTGTGTAATGTGTGTGTGTGTGTGTAATTGTGTGAATGTGTGTGTGTGTGTGTGTAATTGTGTGAATGTGTGTGTGTGTAAATGTGTGTGTGTGTGTGTATGTGTGTAATTGTGTGCAATGTGTGTGTGTGTAATTGTGTGCAATGTGTGTGTGTGTAATTGTGTGCAATGTGTGTGTGTGTAATTGTGTGCAATGTGTGTGTGTGTAATTAATGTGTGTGTGTGTAATTGTGTGCAATGTGTGTGTGTGTGTAATTGTGTGCAATGTGTGTGTGTGTGTAATTGTGTGCAATGTGTGTGTGTGTGTAATTGTGTGCAATGTGTGTGTGTGTGTGTAATTGTGTGTGTGTGTGTGTGTGTGTAATTGTGTGCAATGTGTGTGGTGTGTGTAATTGTGTGCAATGTGTGTGTGTGTAATTGTGTGTGCAATGTGTAATTGTGTGTAATTGTGTGCAATGTGTAATTGTGTGTGAATGTGTAAATGTGTGTGAATGTGTAAATGTGTGCGTGTGTGATTAAGAGTGGTGTATTACTAATAGCCGCATCCTTTCCTGGCGCCAGGTGAGCTGTCGTGGGTGGGGAAACGGTGACTCGAGGAGGGGGGGAGGAAAGATGGGGGAGTGGAGTAAGGGGGTGGACATATAATCCACGGCCGTGACGCCGGAGTCTCAGACCAGGTCTCGGCGCCGCTCGGGAAAGATCTGACCTTCCTCTTGACGCTATATATTTATACATAATTTAGTTTATCGTTCCTCCTTGACACCAATGTTTCAGTGGATCTGTTGAACAGTGGTGGTACATTAAAGACAACGGACTGAGTTCAGATGGGAGAAGAAAGAACGCTAAAACCAAACTGGTTATTGGTGGACTGGAAACTCACGGAAATTTCTGCAAGATCCGTGGTAGCGGCCGTACCGGCTTCAAGTGCAACAGCAATTCTGACCTTTTTGTAGTGAGAAACAGAAAAGATCATTGAGACCAAGGAAAACAAAAGGTGTACGTCATATTTCGTGTTCGTGGCAACATCGAGAGAGGTGGGAAGAGAGATTTTTTGAAGATCCGAACAAAGTCTTTTCGAATTTGAATACACAAGGTCGCCACGCGTGTTGCAGGGAAACTGGTGTGAACGTGCACTGCAGGTGTGCAGGGGTACGCAGAAATGGCTACATACGCCACGTACCGGCACGTGGAACTTGACCGTGTCGGCTTAGGCAAAAAGAGGTTAGTAATGTTGGCATTGATGCCTACGTGTTTTTATCGTTAATGATGACTCCTACCCGGTTCTGATACTTTTGAGTCGATTTTACTAGGCACCTTCATTGCATTTGTGGTGGTTACCAGAGCAGAGCGGCATTTAATATCTTAGCTTGCTGGTTTGAGCCATATCTTAAAAGAAAAAAATATATGGCTAATTAATGGTCAATAAGCATTGCCACTTATTGAATAGTAATTGCATTCACAAGCAGAAAAAAGTGTAATACATGTATGTACAAGCAACCATGTGTGCTGTGGGCATTTATGTATAATTCCAAAGTTTTACGTCTATTCAAAGTGTCTAGACTTGGGAATCTTTCGCAGTTTTATCTGTGGTCGGGAGATGGGAGTGTAAGGGGCAAATCAGTGTGAGACGGGGGCTCCTCTTTGAGATCGTACTCTCTAGCATGTTGCTCTCTTCACCCGCTCCTCTTTTTCTCTCTGTCCAAGGCACATCGCTTTTTTTTCTTTCATTCATATTTAATTTTCTACTTTCTGGAAGACATGCACCCGAGTACATTAGTAATTTGATGTCTGAATGTGCTCATTGCGATCGTAACCAGAAAGTAGAAATGACTATAAGAAAATTGAAGTGTGTAAACCCTTCGCGCTGCCATCGACCCGAGAGCTGGCACGATGCATTGCTCTCTAAACGGACACTGGCCCTGCAGAGTGGCGGTCCGGATAAAGCTCGTTTTTTATTCCTTCCCTCAGGTCGTTTCTATAATGTATTCATTTAAATACCCCAGTAAAATTACATATGTAGGTACATATGTGTATGTATGTATGTATGTGCGCGCGTGCGTATGTGTGTGTGCATATTTGCGTGTGTGTGTGTGTGTATGTGCATATTTGCGCGCGCGCGCGCGTTTGTGTGTATGTGTGTGTGTGTGTGCATATGTGCGTGCGTGTGTCCATATGTGTGTATGTATATATATATATGTATGTGTATATATATGTATGTGTATATATATGTATGTGTATATATATGTATATATGTATGTATATATGTATGTATATATATATGTATGTATGTATATATGTATGTATGTATAATGTATATGTATGTATATGTATGTATGTATATGTATA